GTCGCACAGGAGTACGCGAGCTGAAGATGATCAATTGCCTATCGAACTATAAAAATTGATCTATGTAATCACTTCACTGGACTTAGAGATACTCATACAAAAGAAGTCATTACAGGGTAGTGCGAGAAGCTCCACCTTTAAGCCACTGGTGGCACAACTTGCCCGCCCCGCAAGGCCGGCTCTACCCCAGAGGTGGTAATGGGTATCGGGCCAGTGATGAGGTCAGGGGGAGGAGCACTACTCGTTGGGATGGTCGTGAACGCCACTGCGGCAGTAGTAAATCCAGCGGAAGATGCTTGTGTGGTACTAGCAACAGTAGTTGACGTTGAGGAGGTAGTGGCCACAACACTGGTCGAGGCTGCTGTAGTAGCAACGGCAGTTGACGAGGGTGTGGTGGTGGACACAACACTAATCGGTGCTGGTGTAGTAGCAACGGCAGTTGACGTTGGCGTGATGGTGGACACAACACTAATCGATGCTGGTGTAGTTGCCTCTGCAGTAGTCGATGCTAATGTGGTGGCCTCTCCAGTAGTCGAAGCTGGTGTGGTGGCCTCCACAGTAGTCGAAGCTGGTGTGGTCGCCACAACAGTAGTTGCTGCTGGTGTGGTGGCCTCTACAGTAGTCGGAGCTGGTGTAGTAGCCTCTACAGTAGTCGGAGCTGGTGTGGTGGAAGCCTCTACAGTACTCGGAGCTGGTGTAGTAGCCTCTACAGTAGTCGGAGCTGGTGTGGTAGAAGCCTCTACAGTAGTCGGAGCTGGTGTAGAAGCCTCGACAGTAGTCGGAGCTGGTGTAGTAGCCTCTACAGTAGTCGATGCTGATGTGGTAGAAGCCTCTACAGTAGTCGAAGCTGGTGTGGTAGTAGCCTCTACAGTAATCGGAGCTGGTGTGGTTGCCTCTACAGTAGTCGAAGCTGGTGTGGTAGTAGCCTCTACAGTAGTCGGAGCTGGTGTGGTAGTAGCCTCAGCAGTAGTCGAAGCTGGTGTGGTCGCCACAACAGTAGTTGCTGCTGGTGTGGTGGCCTCTCCAGTAGTCGAAGCTGGTGTGGTGGAAGCCTCTACAGTACTCGGAGCTGGTGTGGTAGTAGCCTCTACAGTAGTCGAAGCTGGTGTGGTAGTGGCCTCTACAGTACTCGGAGCTGGTGTAGTAGCCTCTACAGTAGTCGATGCTGGTGTGGTAGAAGCCTCTACAGTAGTCGATGCAGGTGTGGTAGTAGCCTCTACAGTAGTCGATGCTGGTGTGGTGGCCTCTACAGTAGTCGGAGCTGGTGTGGTAGAAGCCTCTACAGTAGTCGATGCTGGTGTGGTAGAAGCCTCTACAGTAGTCGATGCTGGTGTGGTGGAAGCCTCTACAGTAGTCGGAGCTGGTGTGGTAGAAGCCTCTACAGTACTCGGAGCTGGTGTAGTAGCCTCTACAGTAGTCGATGCTGGTGTGGTAGAAGCCTCTACAGTAGTCGATGCTGGTGTGGTGGAAGCCTCTACAGTAGTCGGAGCTGGTGTGGTAGAAGCCTCTACAGTAGTCGGAGCTGGTGTAGTAGCCTCTACAGTAGTCGAAGCTGGTGTGGTAGAAGCCTCTACAGTAGTCGGAGCTGGTGTAGTAGCCTCTACAGTAGTCGAAGCTGGTGTGGTAGTAGCCTCTACAGTAGTCGGAGCTGGTGTAGTAGCCTCTACAGTAGTCGATGCTGGTGTGGTAGAAGCCTCTACAGTAGTCGATGCTGGTGTGGTAGAAGCCTCTACAGTAGTCGAAGCTGGTGTGGTAGTAGCCTCTACAGTAGTCGATGCAGGTGTGGTAGTAGCCTCTACAGTAGTCGATGCTGGTGTGGTAGAAGCCTCTACAGTAGTCGATGCTGGTGTGGTAGAAGCCTCTACAGTAGTCGAAGCTGGTGTGGTAGTAGCCTCTACAGTAGTCGATGCAGGTGTGGTAGTAGCCTCTACAGTAGTCGATGCTGGTGTGGTAGTAGCCTCTACAGTAGTCGATGCAGGTGTGGTAGTAGCCTCTACAGTAGTCGATGCAGGTGTGGTAGTAGCCTCTACAGTAGTCGATGCTGGTGTGGTAGTAGCCTCTACAGTAGTCGAAGCTGGTGTGGTAGCCTCTACAGAAGTCGGTGCTGGTGTGGTAGTAGCCTCTACAGTAGTCGAAGCTGGTGTGGTCGCTACAACAGTAGTTGCTGCTGGTGTGGTGGCCTCTCCAGTAGTCGAAGTTGGTGTGGTGGCCTCTACAGTACTCGGAGCTGGTGTAGTAGCTTCTACAGTAGTCGAAGCTGGTGTAGTAGCCTCTACAGTAGTCGAAGCTGGTGTGGTAGAAGCCTCTACAGTAGTCGGAGCTGGTGTGGTAGAAGCCTCTACAGTAGTCGGAGCTGGTGTGGTAGAAGCCTCTACAGTAGTCGATGCTGATGTGGTAGAAGCCTCTACGGTAGTCGGAGCTGGTGTGGTAGTAGCCTTAGCAGTCGTCGAAGCTGGTGTGGAAGTAGCCCCAGCAGTGGTGGACGCTCGTATGGTGGTGACCACTGCACTAGTCGATGTAGTGTACCTAGTGGTCACGACGGTAGTCGATGGTATTGTAGTGGTAGGTGTCACAGAGATAGTCGTTGCCGATGTGCTCACCGTCTGCATCGTTGTGTCGCTTGTGGTAGAATCAGCGCAAGAGCAAGGAGTGTTTGAAACGTGGCAAACACTCGGTGACTTCCAGTACTTACAGTAAGACCCAGGAACCTCTTCAGCACAACCCGCATCACATCGGACTGGAGAGGCTGTAAGGAAGCTGGTATCGCATGAGCATGGGGTGTTAGAGCCAAAGCACACACTTGGCGTCTGCCAGTACTTGCAGTAGGAACCAGGGAAAGTCAGAGCGCACTCGGCATCACAGGCAATAGTGTTGCCCACCACACTCACTACGGAGGCTGTGGTAGAGAGCAGGGCAGTAACAGCACGAGATACCATAAGTCAATGGGTAGGAGCAATCCTGTCAGGAAATATCCTTTCGAGCTTCCGAGCGTTCCGACTTGAACCGCTAAACGTACAATTGTAAATGTTCGGAAGTGGTGGCAACACGCGCCAGCCCGGCATATCTTCGAAACACCTTCGGCGAGCATGTGTAACCGAAAGATGCTTCTGTTGAAAAATGTAAGCGTTTCTGATCCTGTGACCGTCGCGCACGGTTGAGCTCAGCATTGTGGTCTCACTAGTCTAGAGCGCGACTCATTATCGCTCGGGGATGAGTGGCCATGCTCGTGGCGCCTCGTGATGGAAGCGAGGCGAACAGCAGTACAGAATGTTCCGCAGCGACAGCCCAAAATTTCGCACGGTCGGGTCTCAACGCTCTAGCATGTATGATCCTCTACGAAATACGGTGCCTAATAAATACTGTTCCCAAGCAAAGTCAGCAAAGTGTAAGCATCAGCGGAGCGTGGACGAATAGGAGCGGTTACCGATATTATACTATGGAATTGGGAGTCCCAAAAAAACGACTTCGGTCCCAATTTGAGACCGAAGTTGTTTTCTTCGTGGAAGCACTCGTGGATAATGCGGCAGTAGAAGCGGCCGCGATATCATAACTTTGCACTGCTGGAAACTGTCATTTTGTGTGAGTTTCAAGGTAGTCCTGGGAGTCCC